TTGGTGGTATGAGGTCCCCCATGTCTGTATGCTCATTTCTCTCTTTTATATCTCAAAAGAGACCGGCTTAAGGCACAATCTAATCTTGTAGATCTCATCAACATAACTGCCGCTAATCCATCTCATTAACATCATAGTGATAGGATTTACAACACATAGGAAAATCACATTAGATGACAAAATGGTGGACAATCACACAATACTGAGAATCATGGCCTAACCAAACTGATACACATATTTTTTTGGGCACAATTCATTCCATGACAATCTTTGAAGTTATTTCTGTCTATTAGTAATTTGCTGTTATTTTAGTGACTATTTTAAGTAGAACATTTAAAATTAAGATAGTTGTTTCACAAATGAGCCCATCCTACATGCCAAGTACTTCACATACATTAGGCTCCTTAGCCCTGAGAGGTAAGTATTGTATTATTTATTATCCTCACTTTATTCCCAGAATTACTCAGCAAATAAGTGGCAGAGCCTGGAGTCAAAGCCAAGACAAGGAGATGCCAAAGCTCAAACCCTTTCCATAAAAATGTGACCTCTATCTAAAAGTCAATCCAAAAAGTAAGGTTTTTCTTTTCTTCTTTTCTTCTATGTAAACATATCACTGAAATTTCAGTTTGATTTACTTCCCTTAAGGTTTACTGAGCACCTACTGTGTGCCAATTATTGTGGAAGATGTAAGGGATACAAAGATGAATAAAACACAGCCTTTGCCCTTTCTGGAGTTCAGTTTGGAAGAAAAACTTTTAAAATGTTGTTATGTGTGAATGAGTTGTCACACATTAGTTTTCCAGAAAAATGAAGCAAATCTCTTTAAACTACCAAAATTTTAAGGATGAGAGGAAAGCAGTCTGATAGGCCTGGGTAGATCCTGGTTCTGCCACTCGGTGTGGGCTTGGTGTCCTGGTGTGTAGAATAGGATTGCTATTCCTCCCTAAAAATCATTACTTTGAGAATTCTGTGTGACAAAGTGTTCAGAGTGCCTGGCACAATTAGGGATGCGATAAATATTAGCATTAAAGCAAAAGTTTAATTTCCAGTGGGAAAAAGGCTCTTGAGGACCAGTTATATTTGCTAATTTAGTATATTCTCTGAATTTATTTAGTTATTCATTCAACAAATATTCATTGACTACCTACTGGCACTTGGAGATGGGAAAATTTAATCCTCCCAGCAACTCTCCATTGTTGTCCTCTCATTTTACAGACGATGACACTAAGGCATGGTCTCTCCTGCAGATGGTCATAGAGGTGGGGAGAGAACAGAGCAGAGATGCAAACTCAGGTAGTGATTTTAAACACTACCAGTCTGACTTTTATGCATTTTTTTAAAGTAGAGAATTTAGGATTTTGTTTTAATGATTCCAAGTGACCGTTAATGCCCACTCATTACTATATTGTCACAAAGTGATGCTCTCAAGAACTACTGTGCGCGTGGCGTTGGCTGCCCCTGCCCTAAACAGCTCCCAATTATGATGTAGTGGATGATCCTCTGCCGGCTGTCACTTCCCACAAAATCTAGAGTGCTCCCATCTGCTGCTGGGGTTGCCTAGAGGGAAAGGTAACCAAGCTAGTTAACTGGTAAGGTTTTTTAGATGCAGTCCTAAACATAAACTCCTTTTCTCTTCACGTGCCCTCCCAATCCGATGTGACACCATTCTCTCCTAAATGGGAATGTGGCATTAATTTCCCCAAAGGCATTCTTCATCAGCTCTGTGCGTCAGGTGCTGAGGTTGCTCTAAGACTGACAAATGCCGGGGGTACTGTATCATTCATAATCAGGCTCATCTGGAATCCAGTTCCTAAGGGAAGATCAAGATTGAATACTTTCGAACAGAATAATCTGCGTGGCTTGAAGACTATTCCTGGATGACTGAATTTGCTGCCAGCTCACTTCCAGTCATGAGTAATAAAGCATCCTAACTGATAGAATTCAGCCCCTTAGATAACAGAGACCAGATGCTAGCTTGCCAAGTCATCCCCATGAGGGATCTCCCTCTTTGTAATGGTTTGGTTATAGTTGTTGTTGTTAGGTGCTGCAGAGTCAGTTCCAATTCATAGCAACCCTATGTACAACAGAATGAAACACTGTCCGGTTCTGCGCCATCCTCACAATCATTGTTATGCTTGAGCCCACTGTTGCAGCCACTGTGTCAATCCATCTCCTTGAGAGTCTTCCTCTTTTTCGCTGACCCTCTACTTTACCAAGCATGATGTCTTTCTTAAGGGACTGATCCTTCCTGATAACACATCCAAGGTATGTGAGACGTAGTCTCGCCATCCTTGCTTCTAAGGAGCATTCTGGTTGTACTTCTTCCAAGACAGATTGGTTCGTTCTTTTGGCAGTTCATGGTATATTCAATATTCTTCACCAACACCACAACTCAAAGGCGTCAATTCTTCAGTCTTTCTTATTCATCGTCCAGCTTTCACACGCACATGAGGCGATTGAAAACACCATGGCTTGGGTCAGGCACACCTTAGTCTTCAAGGTGACATCTTTGCTTTTCAACACTTTCAAGAGGTCTTTTGCAGCAGATTTGCCCAATGCAATGCGTCATTTGATTTCCTGACTGCTGCTTCCATGGGTGTTGATTGTGGATCCAAGTAAAATGAAGTCCTTGACAACTTCAATGTTTTCTCCATTTATCACAATGTTGCTTACTGGTCCAGTTGTGAGAATTTTGGTTTTCTTTATGTTGACATGTAATCTATACTGAAGGCTGTGGTCTTTGATCTTCATCAGTGTTTCAAGTCCTCTTCACTTGCAGCAAGCAAGGCTGTATCATCTGCCTAATGCAGGTTATAGAGTCTCCCTGACCTACCTGACGCACAAGGCTCTATACTAGGAAACCCATCAAAACCTTTTAAGTGCTCTATATGCCTGTTTAAGGAGCCCTGGTGGCACAATGGTTAAGTGCTTGCCTGCTAACCAAAAAGTTGGTGGTTTGAACCTACCAGCAGCTCCATGGAAGAAAACATCTGGTGATCTGCTCCTGTAAAGACTGCAGTCTAGAAAACCCTGTGAGGTGTTCCACTCTGTCCGATAGGGTCGCTATGAGTCAAAATTGACTCCATGGCAACGGGTTTGGTTTTTGGTTTACATACCAGTTGCGGAAGAAGGTGACTCCAACTCACAGCAACCCCACCATGTGTGCTCCACAGGGTTTTGAAGGCTGATTTTTTAGAAGTAGATTGTCAAGCCTTTCTTCCCAGGTGCCTCTGTGTATATTTGAACTTCCGATCTTTTGGTTAGCAACCCAGTATGTTAAGAGTTTGCACCACTCAGGGGGCTCCCAATGGCTCTACACATCTATAAAATTCTTCACTAACAACCCTATACATCCTGCAGTCTCTCCGTCTGCAAGAATATATTTTACATATTTTTTATTTTAAGTACCTTTCATTTAATTCTCACAACTCTAAGAGACAACAAATGCAAAAACGCAGGCACAAATAGGTTAAGTAATTTGATTAAGGTCGCATGGGTTTAAGTGGTTAAGCAAGATTTGAATCCAGGCAGTAAGTCTGTCCCTGTTCATAAACAAAAACAGCAGTACCTGTATCACCGTGATGTATAATTACTTAGTTCATTCATTCTTACTTAATTCTCTCCCAAAGAAGGCACTTTTTGCAGATGAAGAAAAGGAGATAGGTTTTAGGGATGATAATAATTTGGTCTAGCAGGTGTATTGAGCCCAGCTTGAAACCCTAGTACACTGGCTGTTCTTTGCTCTTTCCTTGACCTTAGCTTACTCTGCTTTACCCAATCGTGAAATCTCTAGAAAATGCATGACAGTGGGGAACGAGGTGCTGAATTAAGGGAACACATTAGTCTATATTCTCACGGGTCTCCCCTGACCGAAGGCAGATACAGCTGCAAGATAATCTAGTTGCATGCACTGCACAAATTTGCAACGCTAGGATGCTGATACACGTTTACAATGATTTACAATTACCTTTTTATTAATGGCAAGAGCTTTGGGGTTGGGTTAGTTACGCCGTTTGGGTTCCAGCTCGTGCGAGACTGTTAGTGTTGTTAGTTGTATTCCGGTTGCGGCACCGCCGGGGGCTGGGAGGATCCCTCCCGTTACCTGTGGCCAGCGCGAAGGCCGGGACGCTGTGGAAGCGCACTGGGCCGCGGCTGCGGCCGCCCTCGCACGCCACGAAGGCGGCCACTAGCCCGCATGGGCAGTGAATGTTGACGCGGGCCTCGCGGGCGTTAGGCGGGGGCGCAGGCACCAGCCCGAAGTCGAGCGCGAAACGGCCCAGCGCCAGGACGGCGTGGCCGCACATGGAACTGTAGCCCTCGTTATGCAGGAACAGGACGCCTAGGTGCGCGTCCGGCAGCTCGCTAGGCACCAGGACCGCTCCGTACATATCCCGGTGCCCTCGGGGCTCGAACATGAGCCGCCGTCGCACGTGGTCAAGGTGCTGGCGCATGTAGCGCCGCTTGGCCAGCAACGTGGAGCCGACCACCTCCGGACACCCCGCTAGCACGATGCGCAGGGGCTCGCCGCCGGTGTGCATGTCCACCACCGACAACGCTGGGGTCCTCGGGTCGTGCGGGGGCAGCTGGGGCACAAGTAATGCGCGCTCCATTGTCTGCGTTCGGGGTCTCGATCTCCACCCCCCGAGCACACCTAAAGCCCCTTGCCCACTCGCGTACCTAACGCGAGAAAGGCAGGACGCGTGGCAGTGTCAGGGGGCGGGGCTTCGGAATCCAGACCCAGAAAGCGCGAGACGGGGGCGGGGCTTCGGGGCCGTCGCCTCGGTTACCGGGAGGCGGAGCTGCCCGGGCCGCGGTGGCCCGGATGTCCGGACGCTGAGGTCGGATCTGCTGATCGCGGAGCTTCTCTGTTTTTGAGGGAAGCCTTCGAGCGGCCAATGGGTGAGTGGTCGTTGATGTCCCGGATAGTTTTGCCTTAGTTCCTGCTTCTTTCCTCCCCTTCCGCTCTGGCCTCTGCTAGTGCTTGGGCAGCCACTGGTTAACGCATATGCTTGCCCCTCACTCTCCACCCGCGGTCGGGCCGGGGCCCGGACTCCTCCGCTGGTTGGGATGGTCTCGGCTCCTGACGGGCTGCAGAGGGAAGCCGGCTGTGTGCCGCGGGAAAGGCCAGTCCTTTGTTGTTGTTTTGTTCTTCGAAATGTCACTTCAGTTGCTTTTGTTAAATGTGGAGGAAACACATTCATGAGGGTTGACTTCAGAATTAAAAGCGCGGTTGTGCTGAATAACTATTGTCTCCCCCTTCAGCATCAACTGTAAATTTATAGGGTCTCTCACAGAGGAACAAGACCGTTGCCAGGAAAAATAAAAATAAAAAAGGCTTAACATTTTAGCCATCGTTCAGTAGAGGAAATGAAAGGGAAATTGAGCGGACGCAGGGAGTCAGGGTTGTTTGGTAGATGATGAGCTGGTGCTTTCAGTTTATTATATGTACTGGTTTTCAGACCTTGGATTTTGAGAAACTTTAAATTCAAATGTATTTGTTAAACATCTGCAGATGCAAAGGAGCCCTGGTGGTGCAGTCGTTAAAGAGCTCCGCTGCTAACCAAAAGGTCGGCAGTTTGAATCCACCAGGAGCTCTTTGGAAACCCAGTGGGGCAGTTCTGCTCTGTCCTATATGGCCGTTTTGAGTCAGAATCGACTGGACAGCAACGGTTTGGTTTTTGGTTATAGATGCAAAGCCCATATAGAAGCAGCTTCCAATTCTGTAACCTCTCGTGCCTTCTCAAAATCAGAACCACCATTCATTATCGTTTGAGGTATTGTGATTAGTTTGAGGTATTGTGATTCCAACTGGTTTAAAAAACAAGGTGTCAAATAAGGCAAAGAAGCCCATGGCTTTCAAAACACAAGTTAGAAATTTGATGAAAGTGAAAATATTAAAATTGAGACATTTTAATTAGTGCTATTTCTAATTTTTCTCAGCGCAAGGAGAAAGACATTGTCTACTTGCATCTGAAAGGAGAAAGGGCACTCTGGGCCAGGCAGTTTCTAGAATGTGAATTCATGAAGAATTTGGGAAATGAGTGTTCAAGAATAATAAAATGAATAATTATTTTCCAGATTAATTCACATCTTGACCACAGTTGTTTTTGCATTTATTCTACACTAGGCTATAGGTTCTTTGAGGGAGAGACTCTGTCATGCTCCTCTGTGGATCTCAGTGGACCTTTGCCGGTAGAATCTGGCACTCAATACATGTTTATTGAATTAATAAATCTGTGAATGAAGGAAATCAGATATCATTGCTGAAAACTCCTTCAGTAGTTTCCCCCGTTGATGAAGTCAAAAACAACCTGTCCCTGAATTTTTTTTGTAAAGAAATGCTGCTTTTTATTTTCCTCACACCTTGAGATCGGGCAGTTGATTTTAAAAAAAACAGTGGCTCTCAAATGCTGGTCAGAGGTCCAGTGACAGCCTTGATGAACTTTTCACCTGTCCTCCATTAAAATAAAAGTGAGGACAGTGCAGTAAATTTTTCATAAAAGTGGTTTTATTTACTTTAAACACCTGTCCTTTATTCTGAAATTATGTCCTTTCTGCCTTCTTGTGTTAAAATGTGTTCTACTATGAGGGACAGTGATGAAAGATTATATGTGGGTACGTGTATAGGCAAAATAAAAAGCTGATGCCCTTTATCAGTTCTTCAGTTAAAAATTTTTTTTTAACTTTATAATCAATGAAATTCAAAAGTCTGAAACTAATCTGTGGTGGCGCAGTGGTTAGGCACTAGGCTGCTAACCAAAAGGTTGGCGATTCGAATCCTCCGGTGGCCCAGTGGGAGAAAGATGTGATAATCTGCTTCCATAAAGATTACAGCCTTGGAAACCCTATGGGCAGTTCTACTCTGTCCTGTAGGGTCGTTATGAGTTGGAATCGACTCCATGGTGAAACTCTTATCTAGGGGAATAGCTGGCTGGAGACATACCTACGTGGTTAGGCTTTGAGTTCTGGGAATTGATCCCACTCTGCTGGTTGAACAGTATTAATAGCAAAGTTCCAGTATAACACTTTGTAGTGTCACAGTGTGAAAGCAGAAATATAAATTTCAAATTGAATGCATCAGGACTTTTGTTTAGTATGTATCATTTTAAATAAATCAAAACTGTTGAGAAACTTCTGCCAAGTACTTCAGCTATTATTGCATTATTTTTTATAATTACAAAAGATGTTACTATACTGACATTTGTTTTTAAAAAGCTGTCGATATTCAACCAGCATGCCTTGGACTTTATTGTGGGAAGACCCTATTATTTAAAAATGGCTCAACTGAAATATATGGAGAGTGTGGGGTAAGTCTTGCATTTGTATGTTATTTCATTTTTTAAATCTATTTGCTTTTGAAATATTTTCACATGTATAATATCTTTTTTTAAAAATATACTCATTACTTCATAAAAGAATAAATATGGAGACGTTAAAAAAATTCTTACTTGTGTTATATTGTCAGTAGTAACATTATATTTTTCTTACAGTCACAATTATTAAGTATTTTTAAAAACATTTTATAGTTTCATGGAAATTTCTAATTATTCTTTACTAAGTAAAGTGACTTGGACAGTAAGTTAACATTACAACTGCAGAGTATTTCTTTGTAATTATTTCTGTACAGTGTTAATAAGTAGGTTTTCCATTGAAGGAAGATAGTCATTGAATAGTCAACGATTTTAGTAACTTAATGAAAGGAGTCCTTTAAGAGCTTTAGATAGTAAATACAATGACTTTTTTTTTTTTTTAACTTACACTGTCTTCTTTTTATTTCTTAAAGCTGCATGTATAAGCTTAGATGTTTAAACTGAAATGGGGTGTGTTATAAAATGATTGTTTGGGGTGTTAATGTTCTAAAATAATATCTAAATGTAAAGTATTGTTTTCATATATTGCAGGTATGCCCAAGAGGACAGAGAACAAATGCACAGAAATATTGTCAGCCTTGCACAGAGTCTCCAGAACTTTACGATTGGCTGTATCTTGGATTTATGGCTATGCTTCCTCTTGTTTTACATTGGTTCTTCATCGAGTGGTACTCAGGGAAAAAGAGGTTAGCACTTTCTATGAATCTGGGTGGGCTGGTGTTGGAATAGTTATCATTTAGAAGAACTTACCCCCACGTGTCTGTCAGTTTGTCGTACTGTAGAGGCTTGTGTGTTGCTGTGATGCTGGAAGCTATGCCACTGGTATGCAGATACCAGCAGGGTCAGCCATGGCAGACAGGTTTCAGCTGAGCTTCCAGACTAGGAAGACTAGGAAGAAGGACCTGGGAGTCTACTTCTGAAAAGAATTAGCCAGTGAAAACCTTACGAATAGCAGTGGAACATTGTCTGATATAGTGCCAGAAAATGAGTCCCCAGGTTGGAAGGCACTCAGAAGACAACTGGGGAAGAGCTGTCTCCTCAAAGTAGAGTCGACTTTAATGATATGGATGGAGTCAAGCTTTCGGGACCTTCGTTTGCTGATGTGGCACAACTCAAAATGAGAAGAAACAGCTGCAGAAATGAGAAGAAAGTAGCTGCAGCAGTATGTCGACACGGAACTGCCAGAAATTCAGGCTGGATTCAGAAGAGGACATGGACCAGGGATATCATTGCTGATGTCAGATAGATCCTGGCTGAAAGCAGAGAATACCAGAAAGATGTTTACGTGTGTTTTATTGACTGTGCAAAGGCATTCGACTGTGTGGATCATAACAAATTATGGATAACATTGCAAAGAATGGGAATTCCAGAACACTTAATTGTGCTCATTAGGAACCTGTACATAGATCAAGAGGCAGTTGTTTGGACAGAACAAGGGGCTACTGTGTTGTTTGAAGTCAGGAAAGGTATGCATCAGGGTTGTATCCTTTCACCATACCTGTTCAATCTGTATGCTGAGCAAATGACCCAAGAAGGTGGACTACGTGAAGAAGAACAGGGCATCAGGATTGGAGGAAGACCCATTAACAATCTGCAATATGCAGATGACACAACCTTGCTTGCTGAAAGTGAAGAGGCCTGAAGCACTTACTGATGAAGATCAAAGACCACAGCCTTCAGTATGGATTACACCTCAACATAAAGAAAACGAAAATTCTCACAACTGGACTAATAAGCAACATCGTGATAAATGGAAAAAAGATTGAAGTTGTCAAGGATTTCGTTTCGCTTAGATCCACAATCAACACCCATGGAAGCAGCGGTCAAGAAATCAAAAGACGCGTTGCATTGGGCAAATCTGCTGCAAAGGACCTCTTTAAAGTGTTGAAAAGCAAAGATGTCACCTTGAAGACTGAGGTGCACCTGACCCAAGCCATGGTATTTTCAGTTGCATCATATGCGTGCGAAAGCTGGACAATGAATAAGGAAGACCAAAGAAAAATTGATGCCTTTGAATTGTAGCGTTGTCGAAGAATATTGAATATACCGTGGACTGCCAAAAGAACGAACAAATCAGTCTTGGAAGAAGTACAACCAGAATGCTCCTAGAAGCAAGGATGGCGAGACTACACCTTACATACTTTGGAGGATCAGTCCCTGGAGAAAGACATCATGCTTAGTAAAGTAGAAGGTCAGCGAAAAAGAGGAAGACCCTCAAGGAGATGGACTGACACAGTGGCTGCAATAGAGGGCTCAAGCATAATAACGACTGTGAGCATGGCACAGGACCGGGCAGTGTTTCGTTCTGTAGTACATAGGGTTGCTATGAGTTGGAACTGACTCGACGGCACCTAACAACAACAACAAGACCTTATCAAGTAATTATATTTCTTGGGTTGTTTTAAGTGTGATAAGCCTATTTTTTCTTATATGCTGATTACTTTTGACTCTGGTAAGAAAATTTAATGATAGGGCATGCCTCAGTAATTAAAATTAATAAGGGAACTATACTGTGTTTGTTTTAGTCTGAATGATCTTGAAGGAATATTTTTCTATCTGTCAATTATGTTCTTTATTGGTTTTCTCCAAAAAAAAAAGTGGTTATTATTACAAACTGTTTATCATTCTAGAACGCTTTGTCATTTAGTTTAATACTAGTAATCTCATATAATGTAGCAGATGTTTAAAAATAATATTGCTGAAACCTAATTATGAAAACTCTTACTAACACATCAAGTCAACCTTTATTAAGCAGTATGTTTCATGCTTAAAATATCAGGGAAGGAGGCAGAAAAATAACTGACATGGTCTCTTGTCATAGTCCTGCAGAGAAGGCAAATGTATATACAAATGATTATAAGTCAATCTCAGAAGTATAATGGAAGAATTATAAACAAAATGCCCTGGGAGTCACAAAGAATGGAGAGAGAAACTATGCCTGGTGGGATAGGAGAGACTTCAAAAGAAGGACATTTTAGGCAGAGGAAACAGAATGATCAGTGGCATGGGGATCTGGAATATGTCATCTACTTGGGGTGGGAATGGCAGTAGTTTGGGGTGGCAAAAGTGTGGGTTGCATATGGAAGAGAGGTTAAAAAAAAACTAGTTAGTAGAGGTTGAGGCCAGAATGTGAAGGGTTTTGATAAGGATGTGAACTTTATTCCACTGGATATGGGGAGCCTTATTCTACCTTAGTACATTTCAGCCATACTGGTTTCCTTTTAGTTCCTCTTAACTCTCAGCAAATGCAAGAGAGCAAATATTTAAGATAATTTGGCTGTAGGTTTTACAAAAATAATTAAAAACATAGGTTCACAGATTTAGGAAGCAGAATGCTTCCCAAACAGAATAAATAAAAAAGAAATTCATTCCTTGATGCATCACAGTTAAATTTCAGAACAACAAAGACAAAAGAGAGGCTATGTGGAAAATTAGGTGCTCCCATTATCAGCCCCAGCTGTGCTCCCAGCATTGACTCCCACCATATGAATGAGACATGTTGAATGTTGCAGCCTAGTAGAGCCTCCAGTTGACTGCAGCCCAAATCAAGATTACGTGGAGCAAAAGGACTGCCCAGCTCACCTGTCATACCTCAGAATAGTGAGAAATAACCAGCAGTTGTATCAAGCCATTAAATTTTAGGGTCTTTTGTTTGGCAGTGTTAGATAACTGAAACATTGTTCGAATAGAAAGCTCAAAAGCATCCATAAACTAGATATTAGAAATAATAAGAGAGTTTAGTGAAGAGGTTGGCTATAAGATACTTAAAAAAAAATTACCTTCCTATTTTTCATTTACAGTACCACATGTACTGTAAAGTTGCTAAGACTAAGTAGACATTAAAGTGTTACCTAAGTCTAAGTGAGATATATATAGATAGTCCACTTTCATGATTAGGAAGGCCACTATTGAAAAGATGTTATTCTTCTTTAAATTGATCTTTAGTTTCAATATAAATCCACTTTATATTGGATTTATATTATGGAACTTGACAAGATGATTCTCAAATTTATATGGAAGAGCAGAGAGCCAACAGTAGCCAAGATTGCTGTAGAAGAAGAAGGTAGCTAATATCAAGAATTATTATCATATTATTCATTTTTCTCAAGGATAGATAAATGAACCCCAGGAACAAAATAGCCTAGAAATAGACCAAATTATATTTGAAACTTTATATGGCAGAAGTGGCATGATAAATCATTTGGGGGAAAGTAGTGACTAATCAATAAAATGCTGCTAGGACAACTGGGTACTCAAGTGGGAAAATCTGAAGTTAGTAATTTTACCTTACATTGTATACAAAAATCTATTCCAGATGAGTTAAAAATTTGGATGTGAAATGCAAAACCTTAAGAAACCTTCCTAAGAAAATACAGGGTAATATTTTTCTTACCTTGGGGTGGTGAGGGATTTCTTAAGCAAAACATTAAAATTGCTAATCAGAGGGAAAAAAAATAATAAAGTCAACTATATTAAAATTTAGAACATCTGTTCATAAAAACAAAATGAAAAGTTAATACACAGAGTAAAACGTGAAACACATTTAACAAAGCAGAATGGATAAATCATGATAATGGTCACACAGTGAAATACAGCAATGAAAATGACTGAATCTCAGCTATAACCAAACACATGGATGAATCTTGGAAATGTAATTTAGAATGAAAAAAAAAAAAAAAACACAAAAACCCAGAAGATTTACATTAGGGTGATATCATTTTATAGAGTTCAAAAATAAGCAAAACTAAACAATGGTTTTGAAGCATAAATACATTTGAAATATACTAATTTAGTATAATATACTAATTATACTAAATTGTTTTTATCACTTCACTGCTTTTAAACTTTAGTAAAAGCAATGAAGTGATAAAAACAATTTAGTATGATTGTTACCTTGGGGAAAGACAGGTATGTGGTGGGGAAGAACACAGAGGTAGATACAAGTTATTGATAATCAGGTTGTTGGGTTAGAGGGTAAGCTCAGGATGTTTATTATTTATTATACTTTTTAAAACATGTAACGTAATTTTTTGTGTATTTTTATATTTTAAGGTAATTCAAAATGATACATAGATAAGGGAGTTTTTAATAACTAATTTGTCAAGATACTAAGAGAGGATAGATCTAATTTCTGCTCTTCTGTTATACATGTAGATAATATTGGCACAGTCTTACCTGGGATGAGTATCCATCCCTTTTTAGTAAACAAGGTTATAAACTCTTTTAATGTAGTTTTCACATACTGGCTTGTCTTATCTGTTCAGAAGATTTTTTAGTTTTAGGATTTTTCAGTTTAAAATTTTTTAGAACCCAGAGCTTGAAACAAATGCAGGATTTATTAAAAGCTATTTAAATACTGAAATTTCTCTGGTAATTGTGCTTCTTTTTGTTGTTTCTCTAGTTCCAGTGCACTTTTCCAGCATATCACTGCATTATTTGAATGCAGCATGGCAGCTATTATCACATTACTTGTGAGTGACCCGATTGGTGTTCTTCATATCCGTTCATGTCGAGTACTGATGCTTTCTGATTGGTACACAATGCTTTACAACCCAAGTCCAGATTATATTACCACAGTACACTGTACTCATGAAGCTGTCTACCCACTGTAAGTATTTAGATTTAAGATCATTAAAAAAAAGAAAGCTGTGAGGATTATTATAGATTTTATTTATTTCAACAGATTGAGCATTATAAAATGGCTTCTAGGCACTCACGGAAATAATACAGAAATGATTTTCTTCTAAGGCACATATAATATAGTCTAATGGGAGGAAATAGAAATGCATCTAACTATCATAAAAGTTAAAATATTTTTGTGTTGTTGTTGAAATGTGTATAAACACTTCTAAAGTAAGCAACATACGTTTCTTAGAGTTTTTAAAAATGGAGTTAAAACCTTTTTGATTTGAGGCAGAGACGTAGTATCTGTCATAGAGGAAAGAGTATGGGTTGTGAAGCCAAAAATTGGCTTCAGTTTCAATTCCAGGTCTGCCAGTTGCTACGTTAACTTGAGCATGTTATAGAGCCTCTTACAACCTCAGTTATCCCATTGATAAAATGGGAATAATAATACCTTATAAAGTGATTGTAAGGGTTCAGTCGATCAGCCTACATCAGATACCATGTGTAGTGCCTTACCTAGAGGAGGCCTTACCTAGAGAAGGCACTTAATAGTAGCTGGCATTATTATTAGAGTGCTTGAGTTGGGTTAATGTCTTTTCCCCAAATGAGTGTTTGTGATTTCTATCAAAATCTTTTGTTTAAAAATACAAATTCATAAGATTTGTATAATGTTACCCCAGACAACTTCATTTTAGAATTTCTATAAATTGTTGGTGTTTGTTTTGATGTGTATTTCTTAAGTGAGGTATAATAAGAAAGTGTGGTATTTATGTTCTCATAGCAAGTTTTCATTACATAATATTCTCAGTGAAATGTGCCCTTTTTGAGCAAGGTTTTAATAGTAATGTATTAAAAACATACACATGTAAAAAAGATAATTTTTTAAAAAACAAGATCCAGATATACAGATACGAAATTTCTTCTCTCCCTTCCTATGCTGACCTTTTAGTTAGCAGCTGATCTCTTAACCACTGCACCACCAGGGCCCCTTCCTACATTTAAGCCTTGCAAATTATTTATCTCGTGTGTGTGTGTGTATACACATACATATATATTAATATATGCATGACTATAATTTATATATAAAAGACTGAGAACTTCCTCTTTGTAGATTTAGATGAGCTATAACCCTCAGCTTCAGTTACTCTCTGGTCAGATGTAGTCTTATGAACTTTTGGAACTTACTGTGGTCCTATACAGAGGGCTTAATAAGTGAATCAGATACCATATTTAAATAAGATGTATATCCACCTTATTCAAAATGTTTATATAGTATCTCTAAGCCTGTAATACGTAGATCAAAAAATACAGGATTAGAACAGAGATTGCAAATAGGTACTCCCCACCCTTGACAGCCACTTCTAATGAAGTTACTATAAAATTTCCTCATCATTTTCTAAAACCATTGTCTTATAAAATTAATTTAAAAAAGGCAGGGTTTTCCACAGTGACTGTTAGTAAAGCTGCTGAGAAAAAAAAAATCTACTTAATTCAGAGATGGTAAATAGATGAAATATTGTGTGATGATTCTGATTAACTGAGAGAGCTGTGCTGACATTCTGAGGCTATGTCTAACTTTTTCCTGACAAGTTAGATGTAGTCTCAGAATGTCAGCACAGCTCTGTCAGTCAGGATAACCCTGCTAAAAATTTTGTCTTTTCAGTTTCACTTCTGTATGTATGTGTGTATTTTTTAAATAAGGTTATACTGTACACATGCCATTTTGTAACCTGCTGCTTAATATACCAGGCGGTTTCTTTTGTCATTAGCATTTCCTTCATAACTAGATTTTTAATGGCTGTATAATATTCTTGCGTGAATGTACTATAAAATTTAACCATTTGTCTATCGATGAATATTTTTTCTCCAACTTTTCTTTGTTATAAGTAGAGAAAGCAAAAGTCCTTGTTCATAAGGAATTTTTGTATATCCCTGATTATCTCCCTTTGATAAATTTCTACAAGTAAAATTGCTAGATCAAAGGATATAAACATTTTTAGGATTTTTGATACATATTTCCAAACTGCCTTCTAGGCAGGAACCCCCAGTATACACTGTCCTGCAGTGTGTGAGAGTCTGATTGGCCAACCCTTTACCAGTTTGAATATTCAATGGGTAGACTTTCTAATACACTTTTTAGACATTTAAAAAATGTTGAAGAATAAGATGTTTCAAAAACATACTTTTCATGTTAAAAATTCCTTATTTTATTTTACAGATACACCATTGTATTTATCTATTATGCATTTTGCTTGGTGTTAATGATGCTGCTCCGACCTCTTCTGGTAAAGAAGATTGCTTGTGGGTTAGGGAAATCTGATCGATTTAAAAGTATTTATGCTGCACTTTACTTCTTTCCAATTTTAACTGTACTTCAGGCAGTTGGTGGAGGCCTTTTATGTAAGTTTGATGGGTAAAGTAAATGAAATATATTTATTATTACATGTGATAAGCAATATTTCTTCTTAATTTTGGAGTTTTTTTTCCTTTAAAATAGTTTTGTTGTTTTTTAATTTGAAAATAAACCTTAATATATATTTTTGCTAAAACATATAATTAATCTTATAAAAAATAATCATGGGTTTCTTGGATTAGAATAGAAATTCTCAAGAAAATCAGTGACAGCTAATCAGAACTCATTTCTGTTTAGAGAATACCTTGTACTTGAGGCTCATAACCTAAACAGAAAGATATCAAATGAACCAAAGAGGTTTAAAAAAAACCTGAGTTTATTTGTGCAGTAACCATTCAGACTGAATTGTGACTGAATATAAATTAAAAAACAAAAACCAATTTTTTGCATGGCAATATGTGGTAATTTCTCTCAGTAATATACAGTCTTTTGCATTAAGTCTTAGATTTCTAAGTTCCTCTATGAAAATCTTCAAGATACAGCCAAAAATTCTTAATGTGTCCTTTATTTTAACATACCCATTTGTTTATTTGTTCAGTAAGTGTTCAGACTGAATTGTGACTCAAAAGAAGAATAATAAAAAGTCATTGTTAAAGGGCTCACAAACTACTAGAAGATAAAAGCAGGAAAGAGATAAATACCTGAAGGAGACATGGTATGGTACTTATTTGAATATGTGACATTGAACATTGCAAGGATGTTGGATATCAGCTTTTACATGTGGCACCTACCAGGGTGCAGAGGGCCAGCCTTTTGGCCTAAAGGGACTGGGCAAGACTGGGCATCATTATACAAATAATGTAGTTTGGTAATGTATTTTGGTTCAAAGAGAGATAGGAGCCGAAGGTCAGCTCTAGGGAAGAGAGGATTGGAGACTAGGCAGAGGTCTGTTATCCTTCGTATTCTGATGTACTGTTTCAGTTGGCCTGCATGGTATTATTTGAAAATCTGTAGCTCTGTCCAGCTCTTACCATTCTGTTGTAGATTTGGCTCACTTCAGTCATTTGCCTACCTACCTGGTCGCACAGTGGTTAAGTTCTCCGCAGCTAACCAAAATGTCGAGGGTTCAAACCCACCAGCTGCTCTGCAGGGGAAAGATGTGGCAGTCTGCTTCCATAAATATTACAGCCTAGGAAACCCTATGAGGCAGTTCTACTCTGTCCTATAGGTTAGCTATGAGTCAGAATCGATTCAAAGGCAATGGGTGATGGGTAGGAGTCCCTGGGTGTTGCCAACGGTTAACGAGCTCAGCTGCTAACTGAGAGGTTGGAGGTTCCAGTCCACCTAGAGGCCCTTTGGAAGAAAGGGGATTAACTCAAGGGCAACTTGTTTTTTGTTGGTTTGTTTGTTTTGGGGGGTAGGCATTTTGAGGTTGCTGTGAGGTTGCTATTCTTGCTTAGGAGCCCTAGTGGCTCGGTGGTTAAGAGCTCAGCTGCTAGCCAAAAGATCGGCAGTTTGAATCCACCAGCTACTCCGAGGGAGAAAGATGTGGCATCTGCTTCCATTAAAGATTTACAGCCTTGGAAATCCTATGGGGCAGTTCTACTCTGTTCTGTAGGGTCGCTATGAGTCAGAATTCAACTCGATGGCAGTGGGTTTTGGGTTGGGTATTCTTGCTTAAGGAGCCTGGTGGCACAATGATTAAGCAATTGGCTACTACCCAAAAAGTCAGCGGTTCAAACCCACCAGCTGCTCCGCAGGAGAAAAGACTAGGTGATCTGCTCCTGTAAAGATTCAAACAAACCAAAACCAAACCCATTGCCATCAAGTTGGTTCTGACTCATAGTGACCCTGTAGGACAGAGTAAACTGCCCCATAGGGTTTTCAGGGCTGTAATGTTTTTTTTTTTTAATTGTGCTTTCGGTGAAAGTTTACAGCTCAAGTTTAGTTTCTCACACAAAAATTTATAAACACGTTGTTATGTGACCCTAGTTGCTCTCTCTGTAATTTAACAGCACACTCCTCCTTTCCACCCCGGATTTACCGTGTCCATTCAGCCAGCTCCTATCCCTCTCTGCCTTCTCATCTTGCCTCCAGACAGGAGCTGTTCATTTAGTCTCATGTATCTATCAAGGGTGTAATCTTTATGAAAGCGGACTGCTACGTCTTTCTCCCGGAGCAGCTGGTGGGTTCGAACCACCAGCCTTTCGGTTAGCAGCCAAGCACTTAACCATTGTGCCATCAGGGTTTCTTTCATAAAAATTACAATCTAGGAAATCCTATGGGGCAGCTCTACTCTGTCTTATATGGTCACTATGAGTCGGAATCTACTGGATGGTACACAACAACATTCTTGCTTTAGGAAATAGGAATCTAAAAAGGATTCAGGCAGAAGAGTGCATGATCAGATTTGCATTTTAGAAAGATAACTTGATAGCAGTATGAAACATAGATTGGAAGTTGGAAGAGAACCTAGGGAAATCAATTAAGAGATTATTGCAGTAATCCAAGCCTGAAAGTCTCACCTCAGCTATTTAGAAGATAAACCAAACCAAACTCATGGCAACCCCATGTGTGTCAGAGTAGAATTGTGCTCCGTAGGATTTTTAACAGCTGATGTTTTGGAAGTAGATCTCCGGGCCTTTCTTCCAAGGAGTCTCTGGATAGAGTTATACTGCTAACCTTTCTTAGCAGCCAAGTTCATTAACTGTTTGCACCACCCAGGGACTCCATTTAGAAGGTAGAGTAAATTACGTAACCAATTAAATATAGAGGTTGAGAGAATGGGAGGAGAATACAATAAAGTAGCGTTCTGGTTTAGTAACTGGTGGATGCATAAATAGTGAATATTAGAGGAGATAAATAGTTTGGTGAGGAGAAGTGAATTCAGTTTTAGGTATCCATGGAATATCCAGAAGGTAACAGGTAGTTACTCATACTAGTGTGGAACATGGGAGAGCTGTCTAGGCTGGAAAGAGGTAATGATTGTCAGCCCTCAAATCCGTATATTCTAGACTGCAGGTGGCTCTTGGTAATGAAATGGAGGAAAGGGGGAAAGCTGTGAAAAGGAGGAAAAGGTTTGGAAAGTTAGCCCAAGGATTGACTGCCAGACAGCATTGCTTTCTATAGTAACCACCTATATTGAAAACTGCCATTTCTCACACTAAATATTTTGATTTTGTTTATAAGATTCCACTCAAAGTACATTTGTAGGGAGGATTAAGGGGTTATTACTCATTCACACTAAGTATAAATTTATGCAGTCTGCTGAGATTAGTTACAGAGGGCATAATACCAAGTCATAATTTTATGATGTTGAAAAGAGGAAAGTAGAAATTTTTTGGTTTGTAGGGGATATAGCAAGTCTGGGTAAAGTAGTGCAGTTGGAGGCTTCTGGTCGCTTAATGTACTGGGGGCTTCAGATCTTGAGAGACACTGGGAGTTGTTAGGAACATGTCAGTGACAAACTTCTACCTGTTTAGAAGTCCCATTAACGCCATTTTTAAGTGTGATCTGTATCAGAACCACCAGGGGAACTTGACAAAATGCAGATTCCCAGGCCTCATCCCAGAGCTAGTTGCTCAAAAATCTTAAATTGTTTTACAATTTAAGAACCACTCTAAATCCTGTCTGTAGCCCAAGACTGCCCTCTGTACCCCTCTACAAATGAGGGCTTGTAAGAAAACTTCCCTTTCTTCCTTTTCTACCTTAGTTGGCTTTTTACTACCAAGTCCCAAATTTGTATCATTGGCAATTATTTAGCTATCGATAGGTCAAATGGAGTTTTTTTTGAAGGCTGATTGAAGACTTACTCCCTCATTCATTACAAAAAGAATTGTTCTAAATGCCAAACAAATCATTTAATTCTTTAGTAAATTAGAACTGGCTGATATAGATAGTTCAGAATCTCTGGTTTCTGCATCCTGAATTAACATTTCAGTTGCTCCAGGTTGTACTGTAATGTAGAATGATTAGTAATTTCATTAGCTAAAGTTAATTGTTATAAAATATTTGCATGAAAAAATAATTCAAGGTGTTTTTCTCAATTGGTACTTTTAGTGTACTATAAATGTACACATTTTAAGAGAAAGGTGGCATTTTGTAGGAAAAATTTTTGCTTTAAAGTAGTACTGTGTTTGAAGTAGAAATTTCTAGAATTTTGACATTAAGAACACTATATGATCCATTTATCCTTTGATATTTGTTTATATGTGAACTTTGCTAAAGATTAATTGGTTAAATCTAATTACTCCTATATCGTTTCTCAACTGAGGTTCCTCATCTGAACCACAAAACACAGAAAATTATTTGAGTAACTATTTTTTCAATTCTCCCAAGTTTGGTACATAACCAATACTATTCTAGATGTATAGAAGCTAATTCTTTATGTACAGTGAATGCCTTAGGGCAGAGGTCTGCAGAGCTGGCCACGAGCTAAGGATGGTTTTGACATTTTTAAAAATCAAAGGAAGAATAATACTTCTTGGCATATGAAAATTATATGAAAGTCAGATTTTAGTGTCCATAAAGTTTTACTGGAACACAACCACAGGCATTCATTTATGTACTGTCTGTGGCTGCTTTCCCACTACAACTGCAGAGTTGGGTAATTGCAGTAAAGCCTAAAATATTTACTCTCTGGCCCTTTATGGAAAATAAAGTTTCTTGACCTGTGCCTTAGGACGTTAGGGTTTAAGTCTCGCACAGACTGAGAAATGTTGTAAATCTAGAGAGAATTTACAGTTAGAATTTTTTTATGGTTTATTCAGAAAACTTGTTTAATTTTTCAACATAATACCAATACTTGTCTTTCAGATTATGCCTTTCCATACATTATATTAGTGTTGTCTCTGGTTACTTTGGCTGTGTACATGTCAGCTTCTGAAATAGAGGTAGGAAATCTTTTTTCCTTCATTAAGATTTTTTCAAATAGATTTAAGAACCAAGTAAGAGAATAGTACATATGATAGATACGGCACAACTGACCGTTTTAATAATACTTGGCTAATTAATAAGACAATAGCTTTTAGCTCAATAGTTAAGCTTATGAAATGAGTAGTGGTATATATATATATATTCATTACTTGAGAAATTAGCGAAATAGTGAATTAGTCAGGCTCAACTATCCAGCATGGTAGAGAAAAATCATTTCACATAATTTACCCATATAGCAAATATTTAATTATTGAAATATTGAAACTTACTAGCACTGTTTTGAGGGAAATATAAAAATGCTTTACTGTATGTAAAACTAATTTTACACTTTATTTTTCAAGGGCAGTATCAACAGAGTCATCAATAATTATATTGTGCACTCCATACCCTTCTATATTTTATCCCCAGTTTAATTTTCTTGATTATGGATGTTTACTTTTTCCCTCTGATATCTCTAATATTTTGGTGATTTGAAGATAATATTAATAGACACATTAGTTCGGATACTGTTCTGTCTCTGCCTCCACCTTTTCAGTATTTCAGTGGAAGGCCGCTGTTAGAACTCTTTAAGACTAAACTCTAAAAGAAGAAAAGTGTGAGGTGTCTTAATATTCACATGCTTGGTAATCTAGTGCCTATGGACTGTCTTAAATTACTCACTACAGTTAATATGTGCTTTCTCATAGCTTTTAACATAAAAAAGCTCAGCTCACAGAAAATGAGTTGTAAATATTTTGGATTGGTTGCTGTTGATGCCACTTTTTACATTATATGTTAGTGAAAGAGTGAGGGAGAAAAAAATCTAAAGATCATAGTGACTTTTAGGTAGGATAATAGTAGAGGAACTACACAGAATATTTTTTTTGATTATTCAAATGTTTCCAGTTGTAGGCTATCCTCATTTCTCCTTCATAATCTTTAATCATCATTGTAATATAATTAATAATTAAAGATGAATTAGTTTTTGCACTTTTAGCAACTCTAGGGAAAGATTTGAGGGGAGAAATGATTAGATATTTGAATAAAATGCAGTTTTTGAATTTTTATTTGCTATCCACAACTACTGAGTAGTTAAGATTTCCTATATATAGCTAAATTAATTTGGAACTTATGTTTCTCTGCCCTGTGTGAATCTTTTCTATATAAAATGTTCATGTACTTCAATTAGCACTTCACACATGAATCAGAAATAGGGAGCTGAATCAGGAAGCATCTAGCTCTAGGTGAGTTAGTGAGCCATTTAATGATAAGAGAAAGTTGATAACTAACCTATTCAAACCACATTTTAGTGTGTTTATTAGCACATTTAGGTATTACTTTTATAATAGTTTGGTCCTTCCCATTACTGCATATTCTGGAGCAGTATTAGAGGAAGTCAGAGTATTCACATGCCAGTTCTTCTGCTTTCTAATTATTCAGGCAGCACTTCAGGAATGTTAAAGGTTAAGGAAGTTGAGTTTATGTTTCTCCTGTTTCCCACCTATAGACTCATGCCTACAGTGGATCAGGGCAGGAAGCGGAGTTCCCTTTCTAGTTCATATAATTCAGAAGAAACTATAGTGTTTCTAGAGGTGATTGGTGATGTAGAATGAGTCTGGACCAGGGCTTAGAGACAGGGACTCTTGTCTTGGCACTGCTATTGACTGCTCATATGACCGTGGGGAACCTCAGTTTTCTTATCTGTAAAGTATGGTGGCTAGACTGGGTGTTTTCTGAGGTCCCTTTTAGCTCAAACATTCTCTAGTTTTGACGTTATGAACATGTGTGAAAACAAGTAATATGTTTTAAATTAAGATGTAATATATAGCTGATTGAGCCTGGTAATCTCTCTTCTTTCTTTTATAAAATTCTATAGAACTGCTATGATCTTCTGGTCAGAAAGAAAAGACTTATTGTTCTCTTCAGCCATTGGTTACTTCACGCCTATGGGATAATCTCCATTTCCAGAGTGGATAAACTAGAGCAAGATTTACCTCTTTTGGCTTTGGTACCTACACCAGCCCTTTTTTACTTGTTCACTGCAAAATTTACTGAACCATCACGGATACTCTCAGAAGGAGCCAACGGACACTGAATATAAAATGCCAAAAAAACCTCAGAAGTATTCTTAGTGAAAAAGGAAAGAAATAAAAAACGTATTAGTACTCTGCCACACATGGGAACAAGACTGTCAGTATATCTTCATGTTTTTTTGACTTAACAGACTTTATGGTTAGACTTGCAAAATACAAAATACCATAATACTCTCCTTCCTGCTCTTTTTTACACAAGAAGCCTACTAAGAAGCACTCGCCTGTCTCAACAATTCATTTATTTCTTACAGCAAAGTCATGTTTCTGTGTATCTAGCAGTGTATAGCTCTCATTTTTTTATTTCATTTTGAAAAACCTTAAGTGTAATCTGGAATCAGCAGCGGCATAATTGTGCATGCCTGTTTATGTCTGAATTTGTTTTTCACCTATAATGAATTATAAACGTGGAGTCTGATAGCAAACATGGAAATAAACTATGTTGGTTTTTGTTGTCTATTTATTTTCACCAATACAGTATTTTGATATCTTACAAAAATAGAGCATAGCTTCTATAGAACATGTTTTCTGTTTAGATACTTTGGTTGGAGACATGTTCAGATTATTGTACCTTTAAAGAAAAAACATAATTAAAAGTTTAATTATAAAAAACCTCAAATGTTTTGACATTTAATTGTTTCTTGCTGTACTAATTCTGGAAAAAATTCAAAATGTTCAGTAGTAAGATTAGTGCTTCTTTCCCAAGTGAATGAATACATATACTCACATACTCCCTTCCTCTTATATCTCATTTTTGAAGGATATATACATATGCCCTGTCTTATTTATCCTGACACATTTGTTTTCCCACATTGTGACATCTGTGAATTAGGATGCATCTTACAGGGATGACTTCTTAGATTTGATGAACTACAGAATAGATACCATTTATAAACCATTTTCCTGTGGTTGGTGTTGATAGGTATGCTGCAATTTTTAATCCTCTGAAGGCTTTAATCGACTCATGACCGTGGGAGCAAAATAGGATTTTTAGCACTTAATCTAATAATATGATGATATTCATCCATTTATATTGTTTAGCAGGTGGGGGAAGGACATTATCTCAGACTTCTAAGAATTCTATTAACAGTTGCACAGCATGAAAGAAAATGCACTTACTTTTTCTGTAGTTATTGTTTATCCCTTTTGAATTCACAGCAGTTGTATCCTTGAAGTTGTTCTGTTAATTACTTGTGTTTTTCAGACTACATCTAGCTATTGGGAAACGAGCTCTTTTAGTATGCCTGTGTTTTGTCATTCCTGTAAGGATAAAAACAAAATATAAAAGTTCTGTGTGTAGCTTACACGGGTTTGGGTGGTTAGTAGTGTCCACTGAAATTCTTTGTTGCCCAAAGAATCCTCAATTGGACAATCGTATAATCTGGGGACAAAGGGGTAGGGGTTATGTATCTGATGACTCTTGTCTTCTGGTCCAAATATACACTGGGAACCATTTTAACCTCCGATGTCCTCATCTAACAGAAAAATATGTATGCAAAAGGAGAAATTGCGCAAATAATTATAAGCCCTTAGAAGCAAATAATTTCAGGAATACTTCATACATACCTGCATTTTTAATTTGTTTTCTTAAAACTAGAACAATTCATAGTAACTACAGTTTCTAATGTTACTAAAAATTTTTGTTAAAACGTGGTCATTAAAAAACAAATCCTTTTCTTAGCTCAGCTTTGTTAAATGTTGACTTAGGTCCTTATAGTACATTCAGTTATTACTGAATTGTATAATAGTTATTTTGCTAACCAGTGCTGGGTAGGTAATTTAAGTCAAAATATTTTCTTCAGTAATTTGAGTCAAATGATAAATTTAGTAGCTATATCATTACATATTTGTCTAAAACCATCGGTTTGCAGATTTATTTGCACATTGGAGCCACCTGGATTTTAAAAAACATGCCTGGGTCACGTCCACAGAGATTTTTTTTTTATTGAACCCATCTGGGTTGCATCCTGAGCATAGGTATTTTTAATACCTCCTCCAGGTGATTCTAATGTGTAGCCATGTTAGAACCACTATTCTAAACTCCCAAGTTCAGATCTTAATTGTTCCAAGAGACAATTTCATTATTTCTGGGCACACAATTTTTTTTTCTTTAGAATTTCTTACTGAAATTTTTATTCTGTTTGTATTTATAAAAAACAAAAATGTTGCCATTGAGTTGATTCCAAGTCATAGTGACTGTAGGAGAGAGGAGAACTGCCCTATAGGATATCCAGGGCTATAGTCGTGGTTAAGAGCTCAGGCTGCTAACCAAAAGGTTGGCAGTTCAAATCCACCAGCTGCTCCTTGGAAACCCTATGGGGCAGTTATACTCTGTCTCTCCTATAGGGTTGCTGTGAGTCAGAACTGACTGAACAGCAGTGGGTTTTAGTCTTTATGGAAGTGGACTGACACATCTTTCTCCTGAGGAGCAGCTGGTGGATTTGAACCGCTGATTTTTCTGTTAGTAGCTGAGCACTTAACCATTGTGCTGCTAGGCCTCCTCAAGTCAATTTTAAGTAGGTTCTTTTTTCCAAATAAAATTATAAAAACATAAATAATTGTATCAAGTCCTTTTCCATCACAATAACAAAAATATAACAATTACATAAAATGATTATTTGATCTTAATTTTAAAATATCTCTTGGCCTAAAAGGTCTTATGTAGACTCCATACAAAGTAAAGGTATTTGGTTAATATACAAATTATTTGTAACTTTAATTATATGGTATAATACTCAAGAACTTTTGGGGAATTTTAAAACAATCATTTTTAATACTTAAAAAATCTAAGTTACTATATTGTTTAGGTATATACAAAAAATTAAGTTACTGTTTTCAAGAAAGAAAATTAAGGCAAAAAGTAATAATCTTAGTTTTCAGGATCAAATCTGGCATTTCATATTCTGACAATCTCCCACACTATCCTACACTCTCGCCAAGTGGTGCCCTCATCAGACTCTCCACTTACCAGGCAACTTGAAGTTTTTGACCAGATCCATCTCTCTGTATTCCCAACACCTAATAAGACTTAGGGGTCTTATTGGTCCGTCTTTACCCTCTCATAGCCATAAGTGTATGCCTCTTACCAGAAGGAATCCACTGTGTTATAATCATCTCTTCACTTGTCTGTTTCTCAGTGTGTGCACTTGGAGGTTCAGGGACTGGATCTTACCCAACTTTGTAACTGCAGCATTTGCCCTAGTGCCAGGCACAAAGGTGCTCAATGTTCATGACAATTTTTCATGAAATGCAAAAATCATAATGGACAGTCAGGCCCTGCAGGGCTGCAGTGACCTATTATGCCCAGGAGAAGGCAGGAGAGGGCTGTTGAAGAGATCGAGGGCTTCTCTTATAGGGGAAGTCTTTCTGTGGGAGAAGATATTCAGAAGGGAACATTCAAACACTAGGAAATTACAGGTGGATCAGAGATGGTCAAGAACTATTATCTTCCCAGAAGGATGACGGATTTCAATATGGGCCTGATGCTTTGTAACTCCTAAATTAGGTATCGTCCATATTCTACAACCAGGGAAACTGAGGAGCAGAGGTTAAATAACCTGTAAGAAGCAGAGCTGGGATTTGAACCCAGGTCCACCTTGCTCCAAAGCCCACATTGTGCCAGAGTACAAAAGCAGAAATAAGTGTAGTTAGGCAGAGTTAGAACCCTTCCTTCAGCTCTCAGCTTGATTTCCAGTTCTTCAGAGACCTCGCCTCTGATTCCCTAACCAGGTCAAGTCTCCCTCTAACGTTCTCTCATAGTTCTTGTGCCCCGCCTTCAGCACACTTAGGACACTTAGAATTTTGCGTACGTTTGTATGATACGATTCTCCCAGTAGACCAGGGGTGACCAAACTATAGCTGGTGGGACGATTCTGCTACAATGGCAAAGTTGAGTAGTTACTACAGAGATTGTATAGCTGGCAAAGCCCAGAACATATATCTGGCCCTTTAAAGAGAAAATTTGCCGGTCCCTGTACTATTGGCCATTTGGAGCCCTGGTGGCGCACTGGTTAAGAGCTTGGCTGCCAACCAAAAGGTCAGCAGTTTGGATCCACCAGCGGCTCTCTGGAAACCCTATGGGGCAGTTCTACTCTGTCCTATAGGGTCACTATGAGTTGACGGCAACAGGTTTGGTTTTGGTATTAGGCTGTGAGTTCTACATGGTCAGGAGCTCTGTTTTATTCACCATTGTAACCCCAGGGCCTAACATGGTGCTTGGCACAAAATAGGCACTCAATAATTGTTGAATATAGTTTAGAGTTAATAGTGTAACACGGGATGGAACCTGAAAAACAGGAGAAATTTCCAGAAGCAATATGCCCAATTATCAACATTTCAGTGGCTGCAAATAATACAATTTTTCTTATTAGAATTCTTTTGGTCAATGATCTATTAACTGAAAATATATTTTCAGTCAGATGCTTTTTTAAAAAAAAATTAAGAGCTATTCTTTTCATTTTCAATGAAAAAGGAGAACATTTTTATTTTTCCTGAATTGATCACTGTGTAACACAGTTTGTTCATCATCATGTGGTCTAGAACAAAGAAGTCATGCCTTATTTTTGTGTGTGTCTCAGCCCATCTGATTCTTTGCCATGCTGCCAACAAAGCTTATCCCACTCTCTATGAGTGACCAAAGGAGAATATGATGTCAGTGTCAACAGAGGTTGGCAAACTTTCTCAATAAAGGGCCAGGTAGGAAATATTTCAGGCTTTGCAAGTCATATAATCTCTGTTTTTCAACTCTGCCATTATAACAAAAGCGGTCATAAATAATATGTTAATGAATGAGCATGGCTGTGTCACAACACTTTATTTATAGACACAGAAATTTGAATTTCATATAATTTTCTTGTGTCCTGAAATATTCTTCTTTTCATCTTTTTAAAGCATTTTAAAATAGAAAAACCATTCTTAGCTCTGAGCCCTACAAAAACAGGAGGGAGACTGGGTTGGTTCCCTGCTATAAACAATAGACTTGCCCTGCACTCTTGAAGCCATCTTACCATCTGGAAAAATGGACAGTCGATTGAGAATATGGGGAGGAGTTAAAAACTAGAAGGCTCTAAGCTTCAATTTCTCTACAGTTCTCATCAGTAGAGAAATCATATAAACTTTCCTTAATGTCTGTAGTTTGGTTTTACTAATGATAACTTGAATAAAAATTTTGGTTATAGGCTCTCAAGGTCAGTGATTGCCAAATTCTTTTGACCCTTTATCTAATCATGTGCCACAATTTATGTATTGCACGTGTGTATGTGTGTGTTGCTCTACTGATATGTATAATTTAAAACATACAAAAATAGAAATCTAAGAGGATGATAAAATGGAATATAAATAGAACTTTAAACATTTGATTTCCATGTTTGGACTGGTCATCACACCCCACCTTGGAGATCATTGCTCTAGAGTCTAGAATCTATGATGTAGAGTCTAGATTATGGCTGAATCTTGATTCACTAGCCTTTGACCCTCTATAGAGTTGGAGAAGCAGGAGACTGTTCCAATGTGATCAGAAGACAAATTAATTCCTACTGTGGGCTATCTGCCAGAACTGGGCCTTGGGGCTGGATTCTAGAATCAGCCACTCTGTTACTCAAAGGGAAGAAAATATTCTGCTTGACTGTCCAGATGAAAAGTCTTAAAAGTAAATATGTTTGTTCTCTCATTTTACTAATATTCATTGAGCACCTATTATGTGCACTGCGCTATGAAATAAAATGGTGCACAAACAAAATGGCCCCTTCTAAAATACAATGGTGGGACAGGCATAGGCTAGATATTCCCTTTCCAAAAGGCAGAAATTAGAGGCAAAGAAAGGGTCACATGTCCCATGTGAGTCCAAAACCCGAAAGGACATATTCCATTGGATTTCAAGGCTTGAAAATAATCCTTTGTCTCCTGGGTCCAATACAGTGGCAGCCCCACCCTATGGGCCCATGGAAAGGGGTGACCCTGCCTCTTGGCCCTGGGATCAAGGAGGTGGCCCACTCTCTGAAACAGAGAAGGTGGCCCTGTCAGCTTCTGAACCACCTTGGGGTTGTTCTTCCCTTTTCTTAAAGGATAATATGTGTCTGCAGCCAAGTAGCTACATCAGCCCATTTCCTGCCTATAGAATCCCAGGAGTCTAATATCTTCCCTTTATTTCCTCCTGTCTCTATTCTTCAGTCTAAGCTGGCAGTGTTTCTACTGAGATTGTTGACTGGATCCATAAGTCACATGACTAATCTCTTAGGCAAAAGGTTGTCCAGCCACACCCTTGGTGTTCTCTCAAGAACATGCATTCTCAATTTTTACAATATGATAGGCTGAGAATTTTCCATATCTTCAAATTCTGTTCCTTTTTGCATAGTTCATTCCTCAATTTATATCTTTTCTCTTGAATTTTACTATAATCAGCAAGGAGGCACCAGGCTACATCTTCAATACTTGGCTTAGAAATCTCCTCAGCTTAATATCCAAGCTCATCACTTACAAATTCTACTTTCCACAAAACATCAGAACCTAATATAGCCAAGTTCTTTGCTACTTTATAACAAGGATTGTCTTTCCTCCAGTGACCAATACCATATTCATCGTTTCCTTTTAAGGCCCCACCAGAAGCACATTTCATGTCCACATTTCTAGCAAGATTCTGTTCATGATGTTATATGTATTCTCTAAGATGATAGAAGCTTTCTCTACAGTGCTCACTTTTTTTCTGAGCCCTCACCAGAACTGCTTTTAACATCCATAATTCTACCAACATTCTCTTCAAAGCAATCTAGGTTTTTACTATCAAGTGCCTCAAAACAGTTCCAGCCTCTATCCATTACCCAATTCCAAAGCCACTTCCACATTTTTAGGCATTTGTTACAGCAGCACCTGGCACCAACATCTGTACTAGTTTCCTAGGACTGTGTAACAAAGTACCACAAATCGAGACATTTATAAGAACAGAAATTTATTGTCTCACAGTTACAGAGGCTGAGAGTTTGATATCAGGCTGTTGGCAAGGTTGGTTCCTTCTGGAGGGCTCTGAGGAAGAGTTTTTTCCATGCTTCTCTCCTGGCTTCCAGTAGTATCCCACAATACTTTGCATTCCTTGGCTTGTAGATACATCACTCCAACCCCCGTGCGTCTCTCTGCATCTCTTCTCCTCTTTTAAAAGGACACTACTCATATTGGATTAGCACCCACCCTACTATAGTATGACCTCATGTTAACTTAAGCAATAGCATTTTCAAAGACCCTATTTCAAATGTGGTCAGATTCACCAGTACTGGTGGTTAGGACATGTCATGAATTGTGTCCCCCCCGAAATATCTGTCAACTAGGCTGGGTCATGATTCCCAGTATTTTATGATTGTGTACCATTCTGTAATCTGATGTGATTTCCTTACGTGTTGTAAATTCAATCACTCTGATGTAATAAGATGGATTAGCGGTGGTTATACTGATGAGGTATATAAAAGTGGATAGTGTCTTAAGCCAATCTCTTTTGAGATATAAAAGAGAGAAGTGAGCAGAGACACATGGGAACCTCATACCACCAAGAAAGCAGTGCCGGGAGCAGAGCACATCCTTTGGATCTGAGGTTCCTGCACTGAGATGCTCCCAGACCAAGGGAAGATTGATGACACGGACCTTCCTCCAGAGCTGACAGAGAAAGCGTTCCCTTGGAGCTGATGCCCTGAATTTGGACTTGTAGCCTACTGGACTGTGAAAGAATAAACTTCTCTTTGTTAAAGCCATCCACTTGTGGTATAGCAGTACTAGATGACTATGACAGGACATCAACATATGTTTTTAGGGGGCATATTTAATCCATAACACCCCCCTACTCCCACTGCCCTACTTCTCCAAGTGATTCTGCCACTGAGACCTCTGGGCTGTGCCTGTGAAATGATGCACCTTCACTTCTCACTGCAATCCTTATCTAAACAGAGTTTTGTGACCCCTTTTGTCTGAAATGATGTTAGAATAGGGATTGAGGATGAAGTTGGGAAAAACTGGGCTCCCTGCTCATGAGACAAGCATGTTAGGACATGTAACATCTCAAAAGTCCCAGAAGGCATCACTAGATTTTCAGAGAAGGCAATAATTGCCGTTAATAATGCTAATTCTAGCACAGGAAGAACAGGTGAAATTATGTTCATTATCTTGTACCTAAAAGGATAAGGAAGTGTGTAAAAGAGTTTAAGAAGACTTACCTGGAAAATGTTTAAAATGAGAGTTTAAAAACAAACAAAAAACCACTCATAAAGAAGTTAAAATTCAGTTATCTAGAAAACTCACTTAAGTGGAAGGGGACAATTGGCTGACCACCGTACTCAACCCTACAAATGAGTATCAGTGTTCAGTTGCATGTTTGTGATGTTATTGTGGATGGGTTTGTAAGCTGTTTGGTTGGATTTTTTCTTTTTTTTTGGTTCTTCTTCTTTTGAAATGGCAGGAACTTTTATGTTACCAAAAGTTCTGAGATGTTGCTTACCGAGGTTCATTTGTGGACCGTTTTCTGTAAGAGAACGCAGCTCGTCAAGATTCCCTTGTAGCCAAGTACTGATAGTCTCAATTTTTTCATCTCTTTCAGATAGCTTTTCTATTAGACTGTTTATTTCTTGCATTATCTCTTTACCGTTATTCACCAACTCCTGAAAGAAATGGCATTTTTGGGTGTCTGAGTATAAATCGCAACAAAATCAATAAAAACATTCTGACTTAGTAACTCATGTTCCAAACAAACATATTATATATGCAAAACTGGTATTAGGTACGCAAAATGGGTGTGGATACACAGCAAATTCATAAAGTTCTGTAAATGATCTCAGAAAAATGGATTATCCAATGAGAAGTTTTAATGGAAAGCTCACTGAACTCAAAATTCAACTGGACAGGGTGGTGGTGGTGGTGGCATAAAAGCCAGTCCAGCCTCAGAGCAGCCCAGAACTTGAGCATGACATACAGCTTAAGAGAAATAACTCTGGAGTGGGGCTGGATCTGAGTTTTAAATCCCTATAAGTTCATCAAGTGTTTGGGTCTTGAGCAAGTTACTTAACTCTGGAACTTTTGTAACTTCATTTGAAAAATGCATTACTAAATCTTCCATATTCAGTGTTTGAAGTGTTAAAAAATGATTAGATGTAATCGTTAAGTCCTTATAAAGCAGTAGAGCGAGGACTTAAACCCCAGCCTACCTGAGTCTAAAGATAGAGTGTGGGGTGTTTCAGTGGCTCTCATGGTTGGTAAAACATGGATGAAAATGGAGTTCAGAACTGACAACTCTGTACTAAAACAAAATGTGCTCAATTTGAGCTTGGAGAAAAAAAAATGTCATGCTCACTTTAGCTGAACTGGTAGAGTAGGAAGACAGTTTCCCAAAGTATTAAGATGTCACAGTGAGTTTTGTACAAAGGACACATTTTAGGATGTGATGGTCCCACCAGCTCTGTCACCACCTCCCAATCCTGACCTTCTCTCTTTGCATGTGCACACATACATACACACACACACACATTTATTAGGTAGGTGAGTATTTTAAGAAATGATATGATACTTATGAAGGTAATACCAAAAAAAAAAAAGAGAAAAAAAACTCACCTTAGCTGAGGTTTGAAATTCAGCCCACAATTCCATGTATTGTTCTAAAACAAAGATTTTAGAAATGCCAAGATTACTGAAACAATTTGAACATTTTTATAAAAGTAATGTTATTTGTTTGTTTTTGTCTTTCAAGAAATTATTTTTATAAAAAAATTTCCACTTCCTGAAACAACAGAATAACTGGATCGAACTTGCTCTCCCACTGGAAGCAAGTAGAAAATGGGACAAAACATATGAAACAAATGTTTCCAGATTCTGATACCTGAGAGAAGGGAAACAAATGAGGTGAGCCCTATGATCACCTCTGCTTTCTGGAAGAGGCACTTTCAAGACCACAGGAAACGAAGTGTATTCCTAAGCAGAGCATGGCAGACTTGCACACAGCCACAAAAATCCATAACAAATATTAGCAAGTTGAATCAAGCAAGACATAAAAATGATAATAACTCCTGAACAAGTGAGTTTTACTTCTGGAATGGGAGGCTGATTTAACATTCAAAAATCAATCAACACAATTTACCGTCTTAATAGCGTAAAGGAGAAAAATTATATGAGCATCTCAATAGATGCAGAAAAAGTATGTGACCCATTGAAAACCTTTTCATGATTAAAACTCTCTGGAAACTAGGAATAGAAGGGCACTTCCTCAACCTGATAAAGGGCATCTTTACAAAACCTACAGCTAACGTCATATTTCAGGGTGAAAGACTCAATGCTTCCCGTACAGTAGGAACAAGGCAAGAATGTTTTCTCTCGTTTCTATTCAGTACTATACTGGAGGTCCTGGTTAGTGTAATAAGGCAAGAAAAAGAAACAAAAAGCATGTAGATTGGAAAGAAAGAAGAAAAATTATTTTTATTTGAAGATACAATTATCTATGTAAAAAGTCCTAAGAAATCTAGAAAAAAGTTTCTAGAACTAATGAGTGAGTCTTAGATTGTCACAAGATACAAGATCAATTGGCAAATGAAATTAAAGGAAAAAAATAATGTCACTTGCAATAGCATCAAACATACCAAATACTTAGGGGTAAAACTTAATCAAACGTGTAACACCTATAAGTGTGTACAGGAAAGAGTTAACTCAGCAAGCCTGGGTTGCTCAAACCCTGCATATTCCCCAGAAAGGCCTATTTTTGCACTGGCCCTGGGCTACCTGCTGAGAACTGAGCTCTTGAAATATTCCACCTGATAAGAATGTTTTTGCATGCCTGAAGCTTTGAGCCACACTGTACCCATTTGTTTAAATATTTTACGCTGGCAATGCGATTTATGGTGAACACTAGCTTGCTTTCTAAGGGTCTGGAGCTTGAGTAACTGTGGTCAGTCACACAGGTGCTGTATGTCTATGTGACTGACCCCCAATAAATACTTTGGACACCCAAGCCCAGGTGAGTGTCCTTCATTGGCAAAACTTTGCACGTGTTGTCATACATCATTGCTAGGGAAATTAAGCATATCTGTGTGACTCCACTGGGAAAGGGTACATGGGAGTTTGCTCCTGGTTTCCTCTTGGCTTCACGATATGCGCCTTTTCCCTTGGTGATTCTACTCTGTATCCTTCACTGTGATAAACCATAACCATGAGTATATAACAACTTCTAAGTCCTATGAGTCCTTTTAGTGAATCACTGAACTTGAGGGTGGTCTTGGAGACCCCCAACACAATATTAAAACTGAAAAAACATTGCTGAGAGAAATTAAAGAAGACCTAAATAAATAGAGCTATAGACCATGTTCTTGGATTAGAAGACTCACTATTGTTAAGATGTCAGTTCTTCCAAGTTGATTTATAGATCCAACACAAACCCAATTAAGACCCCAACAGGCTTTTTTGGTGGAGATTAAATGCTTGTTCTAAAATTTATATGGAAGTGAAAGGACCTAAAGTAGTCAAAATAATTTTACAAGAGAAGCACAAAGGTGAAGGGCTTACACTACCTGATTCCCAGACTATGAAGCCACGAAGCCCTAGAGGCACAGTGGTTAAGAGCTCAGCTGTTAACCCAAAGGTTGGCAGTTTGAATCCACCAGCCATTCCTTGGAAACCCTATGGGGCAGTTCTACTCTGTCCTATAGGGTAGCTATGAGTTGGAACTGACTCGACAGCAACGCGTTTGGCTTTTTGGTTTACGAAGCCACAGTACTCAGAGCAGTGTGGTATTGGTGTAAAGTTAGACATTTAGAATAAAGGAATGTTATTAGGTGCCGTTGAGTCAATTTTTTGACTCATGGCAACTTTGTGTGACAGAGTATATCTGCCTCATAGGGTTTTCTAGGCTGTAATCTTTACAGGAGCAGATTGACAGGTCTTTCTCCCGCAGAGCCACTGGGTGGGTTAGAACCTTTCAGTTATCAGCCGAGTGCCTCATCATTGCACCACCAGAGCTCCTTAATAAGGGAATAAACTCATAAAATTGATTTTTGAAAAGGTATCCAGGATAGTACAATGGTGAAAGGTTTGTCTTTTCAAAAATTGTGCCTAAACAACTGGATATTCATATGGAAAAAAAATTAAATTCAATCCTTAGCGCATACCATACAAAAAGTTGACTTGAAATGAATCAGAGGCCTCAACATAAAAGCTAAAACTAAAAACTTGAGAAAATCTTTAAGACCTCGGGGTAGGCAAAAGTGTCTTAGACATAACACAAAAAACACTCTAAAATACAAAATACACTTTACCCTAAAAGACTTCATACAAATGAAAAATTTTTGCGCTTTTAATGACATTATTAGGAAAATTAAAGTCAAGTCAGGCTAACAAAGACTTGTTTCCAGAATATATAAAGAACCCTTTAACACAGCAATAAGAACACAAACAACACAAAGTAATGAGCAAAACATTTGAACAGACATGTGACAGGTTATATTTCCCAAATATGGCCCCACACTATATTCCATTTCACATATTTTTTTCCTAATATGGTACCAACATTCCTTCTATTGAATGGTGAGGTCCATGTCCCCTCCCCTTATACCCGGTGACTGCCTCAGCCATTAGAGTAGGTGGAAGAAGCACTCTGACTTTCAAGGCTACGTCATAAAAATGCCATGAATTTCCAATTTGTTCTTTTGGAATGCTTGCTTTTGGAACCCTGCAGACCAAGCAGCTATACTGGCAGGTCAACAGTCTCCCCTGAGGTCCAGCTGAGAGTCAACAACAACACTAGACATATGAGTGAGTCTTCAGATGATTTTAGTCCCCAGCTGTTCAATTACCTCCAGCCTTCAAGCTGCCCCAGCTGATGCCATATAGAGCAGACATGAGCTTTCTCTGGCAAGCTCTGCCCAAATTGCCAATTCATGAGCAAAATAAATGATTTGTCTTAAGACACTAAGTTTGTGATATTTCTAATGCTGCTATAGATAATTGGTTCAAGACACTTCACAAAAGATGTTATCCAAATGACAAAAATGCACATGAAAAGATGGTTGATTATTAGTCATCAGGAAAACGCAAATTAAAACCACAATGAAATACTATTACATATCTATTAAAATGGCTAAAATTAAAATAACTGACAATGTTAAATGTTGGTGAGGATGTAGAGTAATGGGAACTCTTATATATTGCTAATGGGATGATAAATTTGTACAACCACTTTGGCAAACTGGCAGTTCCTACAAAGTTAAATATACACTAACCATACCAAAAACAAAAAAGCCAAACCAGTTGCCATTGAGTCCATTCCGACTCATAGCGACCCTATAGAATAGAGTAGAACTGCCTCATAGGGTTTCCAAGAAGCTGCTGGTGGACTCGAACTGCTGACCTTCTGGTTAGCAGTCGAACATTTAACTATTGCTTCACAGGGCTCCATACACAACAGTATGACCCAGCAATTCCACTTGTAGTTATTTATCAAAGAGAAATGAAAACAAATATATGCAAAAAACACTTGTAAACCAAGGTTTACAGCAGCTACGTTTATAATAACCCAAAACTGGAAACAATCCAAATGTCCTTCAGCTGGTGAATGAACAAACAAAATAGAGTACATCCATATAGTAGAATACTACTACACAGCTGTAAAAAGAAACAAATTAATAATACATACAACAACATGGAAGAATCTTAAAAAAAAGCAAAAAACATTTTGCTGAATGAAAGAACCCGGGTACAAGAGTGTGCACACTCCATCATTCCATTTATTTCTATAATGATAGAATGCAGATGAATGGCTGCCAGGAACTGGAGGGGGGGTGGGAAATCAACTGCTAAGGGACATAAAGGTAATTTTGGGGTGATGAAAATGTTCTGTATCTTGTTTGTGGTGATGGTGGTGATAGCACATTTGTCAAAATCCACTGAACTGTATACTTAAATGCGTTCATTTTATTGTATACAAATCTATAAAACTCATTAAAAGAAACAAACAAACCTTTATTTTTATATATAAAGACCTCTCCTGACACATTACTTACTCTGCATAACTATCAAATTCCAAGACAGTTCACTTGAGGTGTGTACGAGGCTTTCTTCTCCTTTCGTGTATTCTTCTGTCTTTTTCTTCAGGTATGAAATATACTGGAAATTAAAGACCTTATGGTTAAATTAGTTTAACTACTGTAGACTAATTATCCATTTAGTCATTCAGCAAATTATTTCTTGAGTCCGATTCTGTGCCAGCTACTGTTCCAGGTGCAGGGATTACAGTGGTGAGCAAAACATGCCCTCATCAGGCTTACATTCCAGTAAGGGAGATAAAGGATTCTGCTTCTTATTAAACATTTTACCATCCAAATAAACATGACATTTTGAATATAATTTGATCCCTCCCCCCAAAAAATTAAAAGGTGTTCTGCCTGAATGCACTGTTTCCACAACAGAAATATTCCTTACGCAAAATGTGTGTGCAGTAAAACATGACAAAGTAGTAATGCAGGCCGACTGGAATTCAGCATAAATCCCTTTCAAAACCTAATCATTTTCTGCTTTGAATTTTTGCTGATACCATATGTTTTTATTAACGGAATGCATACTGAATCACTGAGCATGTTTGAATTTTTGGCAGGTACAATGGGTTTTTTAATTGCCTCATCCCATCCTATGCCCAGAGTCCAGTGAGACATAAGTGTCCCAAAAAACTTTTTATCAAAAGCCATATTTTTCTTACCAAAAGCATTGATTCAACATCACCTCATACACCAAAATCCCCAAATCTGATGCCATCCAGTCAATTCTGACTCATAGCTACCTTACAGGACACAGTAGAACTGCCCCATAGGATTTCCAAGGAATGGCTCGTGGATTTGAACTGGAGACCTTTTGGTTAGCAGCTGAGCTCTTAACCACTGAGCCACCAGGACTCCCACCTCATACATACAATACCCTGTAAAAACAGTAATTTGTGGCACATGCCCGTATTTTTCATTTCAAACTATCATACAGGTCTCTGCCTGCTGACAACATGCACTGTAAGTGAGAAAGCAACTTCCCAATAAACCCCAGAGGTGGAAATATTAGGTGGGTGAATATATGTCCACCATGCGTCTGTCAGTTTGTTGTACAGTGGTGGCTTGGGTGTTGCTGTGATGCTGGAAGCTATGCCACCAGTATTTCAAATACCAGCATGATGGACAGGTTTCAGCAGAGCTTCCAGACTAACACAGGCTAGGAAGAAGGACCTGGTGGTCTACTTCTGAAAAAAAATTGGCCAGTGAAAACCTTATGAATAGCAGTGGAACACTGTCTGATAGAGTGCTGGCAGATGAGCCCCTTAGGTTGGAAGGCGCTCAAAATACGACTGGAGAAGAGCTGCTTCTTCAAAGGAGAGTCGACATTAACGATGTGGATGGAGTAAAGCTTTCAGGACTTTCATTCACTGATGTAGCACGACTCAAAATGAGAAGAAACAGCTACAAACATCCATTAATAAATGGAGCATAGAATGTATGAAATA